GTCTATTTAGTGTTTCTTCGGGTTTAAATGTGTAATAATGGTGGTTTATTAACTGTTTAATATCTGTGAAAGTGCACAAATGAGGGAAAATGAAAGAAAGCCGCTGGACGTAACTTCTGGGGATCCTCCAAAAAGTCCACTGAAAAAATCTTAGTAAATGACCACCATTTTACTGAGATTATATTTCATCCCATATCATCTCATTTCATAAAATTTAATTTCATCCCAGTTGATTAGTGTCTCAAATTAATCATCTTCATTTCATTTTACTCCATAATATCATTTTTCATAAAAATATGAATATAAATTAAAATAAGACAACTTAAAGGTCTCAGTTACCAGGTCATAAAATCCCTTAAAAACTAAATAATTTCTACATAATCTGTAATTGACAACTGATCTGTGGGTAATAACATAGATAATATCTCTGAACTGATCGTGGTCGGCGAATGACGCTATCGAATTTCGAAGACGACATTGTTTTACTAAGGTTTTACATTCATGAAACGTAAATAAAAACATAGTAGGTTGAAAATGTAAGTGTTTCCTCAACTTATTCTATGAAAATTCTACTATTGTACATTTAGAGAGGCCCGTTAACATGTTTCATTTCAATACCAGGGCTAGAAATAAATCGCCTTTGCCTGCAGCTGAGAAAGAGAAGAAGAAACCCAAAGAAAGCAAGAAAAAGAAAGGTGACTCAGGCTCCAGCAGCAGTGATAGTAGTGGAAGGTATCCCAACTAATGTGTTATTAAGATTTGTAACACAATTCTTTAGAGGTTATGTTAAAAGCGGGCTTTCTTTCTTCAACGGAAGTTATAATAAGAAATAGTCAACTTACTATACACTACTAGAAAAACCAAATAGATACAAAAAACCCACGCAAATTGTTAATATCTTGCTGAAGTGATTATTGGTACAAACTAAATAATGAAAGTACATAAGCCTTATCCTGGGAGCTACTTTCTCAACCAATATAATTTAAATCTATTTTCAGTTCATCAAGTAGTTCTTCAAGGTCATCCTCTCGGTCATCATCCAGTAGCTCAGGAAGTTCATCACGTTCATCTTCATCATCCAGCTCATCTAGCAGTAGCAGCAGTAACAATGGCCGTTCAAGGCCTAAGAAAAAGTAAGCTTAAAATTATAAGATAAGGATTAATATAATTAATATAATTATTATTAAACAATCTGCAATTTCTTAAGCCAAAGCGAAGTTTTTATTCAGTACTAGCTGACCCGGCAGACATCGTAGACCAAAATTAGCCAAATCAGTCCAACTGTTCTCGAGTTTTAGCGAGACTAACGAACACCAATTCATTATAGATGTTCATATTTTGTTAAATTTTGATAAAATTATAGGGGGGGCACTCCATACAATCCTGCAATAAGGTTGAAGGTCAGATAGATCTTTAATAAGTTACAGTATATGCTGAGTAGACCATCAAAATGTAGAGCAAATCAGGTTTTTAGAAAAAGCCATCTGCTTTATATGTTAGCTAAATATGTTATGATACATTCTGTACTGAAGGAATAGGGCGTAGTTATAGTTCTTCAATCTCATGTTTCGAGGTGAATGACTGCATCAATATTTTGATATCTAAGGGCTCCATTAACACTAGATGGCCACAATCCTATCCACATCTAATGGAAAAAAATTGCACTGGTAGGTTGTTATTGAAACAATCAATAACAATATTGAACAGTAGGTATTTAAACAGTACTTAATTTAACTAAAACAATATTTAATTTTCTATAATTTAGTAGAAATCTGAAAGTGATTACTCCTAAGCCCATAATAGGTCTCCTTTTTTCTACAATATGATATCTGATTCAGGAAATATAATATTCATGTAATAACCTGATATATGAGTCGTCTATTATCAAAGGTGGCAATCTGTGCATTTGGACCAAAAAAAATTATTGATATGTCAATACAGATTGATTTGAATATAATCGTCTTCTTCAAAGAATACGGTTCAAAACCTGCATTAAATAAAGGTTAATACTTAACCTGTTATTTATCTAAGATGTCGATCGGAAGAGTTTTGTGACTGCCAATGGAATACAAAGTCAATAATTTGTTTTTCTGATTTACTAATAATTATCCAAAAGTCACATTGCCGGCTTTGATAATAGTCGACTCATATATAGTTTTCTTTATAATGCAGGGACGGAAAGCCACAAGTAAATTATTAATTTATTTCATGATCATTACAGTACTGATTAAAAGAGAAAAAAATACAATCAAAATTGAAACACTATTTGATAAAATAATAATTTGAAGTCAATGGAATTGATCAAAGCTTTTAAAATGTTTTTTTTTATGTTTGGGCATCATGCATGTTAAGATTGCTAACCTGACCATACATTTTCTTTATTTTTAGAACAATTTCACCAAACAAGAGTCCACTTAAAGATCGTCGTGATGCTGATCGGGAGAAGATTAGAGATAGATCACCAACAGGAGACAAAAAAAAATCTGTGTTACCTTTATCAAATGACAAAGCTAAAATTAAGGAAAAACAGGAACGGTACAAAACAGTTATTATTTTAAATTATAGCCTTAATACGCCATATTATGGCCCCTGGTAAAATAATAATAAGAATTTCTTTTTTTCTCTTCAGATCTCCAGGACGTAAGAAGCGAGAACGCTCACCACCACCACGACCAACTCGTATCCACATTGGACGACTGACTTTAAATGTAACGCGTGATCACATCCATGAAATATTTTCGACTTATGGTACTGTGAAATCAATTGAGTTTCCTATGGACCGACTTCACCCACATAATGGAAGAGGATACGCATATGTTGAGTTTAATAATGCTGATGAAGCAGAAAATGCTATGAAGCACATGGACGGGGGTAACCAACTTAACACTTATCTTTTAACTTTAACCCTTAATATTTTTCTCCCTGTAGGGAAGTTTAATATTAAGTATGTGTTGGGGATGCACTGGAACAAATTCTCTATTTTATGTCTGCAAATTCAAATCTTTACCATGGAGCTTTTGTTGATTTTAATTCTTTGTTGGTCACCAAAAAAATTCAGTCTAACTTGCACAAACCGGTAAAGATGTGATGAAAATTAGCATGGCATGGTTGCAAACAGACTACATGGCGGCAGGAGATAACAAATGTCTTCCAGATTCTAGACCTTGGCCAAAGAGGGTGACTAGGGGCTGATAAAGTATTTTCACTAAATGCAGATGATTCTCGTCGAACTCTATAGACACGGCTCTGGTTTTCGCAGAGTTTAGTTTTATGCGCCACTTACAGAATCACTGAACTAGGTACCTGTTGCGGCTTAGAGGTTTTTCGCGAAGGACTTGTTTCTACATTAGGCAATTTTTCTATATTAGGTCAGATCGACGGACAAGAGATAACGGCGGCGCCTGTGCTGGTTCCGTCACGACCGCGCAGATCATCGCCTCGACCGCTACCACCTCGACATGGACCTCGCCGTCATTCCCCACCGAGGTACAATTTATACTAGTTAACCAGCTCATGGCGATATTATGCGGTTATTGAAGCACATCGAAATATCACGACACAAATGAATTTTTTCAGTTTGACATACGAGATCGAAGTCTCAATTACATTCGTCTATTGGCTATTCTATCTATCAAAACGGAAATTCGTAATTGCGTTTCAATGTACATAATAATACCACAACTTGTTTTTCCGAAAGGTTGCCTTAAATCATTTTAATCCTCAGTCATATTTGTTATGTGTTTGATGATTAAGTATTTGTGTAGTTGTGAGAACCTTAATAAAACTAGACAGCACCATCAAAGTAAATGTGACGCGGCGCGCAAGCTTTTTTACTGAATTTTTATATACCTATTCTGCAATAGCCTGTAAATAGCAAGAGCACGGCTGTTTTTTTTTTACTAGTACGAAACATCGAAGGATACAAGACTGGTTTTCTGCAACTTTACAGGATGGCCATTTCAGTAGAGTAATCATAATAGAAGATGAATTAAAAATATCGACCTGTTAATACCAGATAAAGATAAATGTTGCTTAAACCAAATAACCTTTCGATCCTCGATGTTCTTTTCAAAACGGAGAGGTGTTAAATTAAAACTAGGAAGGGCACATCTACGAAACAATAAAGTTGTGTGTTGTGTAACAATAAAGTATGTTGGCTGTAGGTATCGCCGACGCAGTCCTCCGGTCCGCCGTCGTTCACCGCCGCGCCGGCGCCGCTCTCGGTCCCGGTCACCGCGCCCCGCCACCCGCCGACGCCGCTCCAGGTCTTCTTCATCCTCTTCACGATAGGACACAACTTTCATAGACACACAATCTTAACACTCGATCATTGCACATACACACACACTCTCAGACATATTACTGAATTTTAAAACACCTTAACGTATTAATTTCGCTTTTATTTTGTTCAGTTTATAATTCCCCCTACTTTGAATACCCTAACAAGTTTTCGTAATGACCTAACTCTATCCTAAAACATAAAATGTATAAACATAGTTGTTTACACATTTCCCTATCGTAAAGTATCAGGAGTACCACAAAATGTTATCATTTTGTCTAAAAATTAAAGGCAAACACACAAAAGTAACGTCTCTCAAGTATCAGGTAAGTACTAATTCATGAGAAAACTAATAATACATTTTAGGGATGTGTTGATAACGGGTAAGTATTAAAGTTGCATGTACATTTATTTAAAGTCTGATAAACAATTTGTTATGAAAGTTTAAAAATAGAACTGAGTGCGAGATTTGGTGCAGATAAACTGTAGACTAAGTGGTGTGATGAATTTGTAAAGGACATATTTGCCTCTGTTAATAAATTGTAACAATAAACTAATTATTTGCTTTCATTAATCACCAGATCCAATGATCCTGCTCCTAAATCCAAGGATTCCCAAAATCTTTAAAATTCATAATTATAATGAAGACAAAACATACAATTTAAGAAAAAAATTACAGAAGCCATTATGTTGTCTATTTTAATAAAGAAAAGCAGTATTTTAATGTTAAATCATTTCTTTATTATACCTTTCTTACCATTAATCATAATTACTGTTAATAATTTTACAAAAGGTTTGGTAATCAGAAACAAGAGTTTTTCCTTTGTACAAATAATTTTCTTCTAAAAGTTGCAATTCTGAAGGGACCCTGTAATAATATTTAATGAAAAACTAATAACTACACAAAAACAATACAATACATAGAATATAAAAGTAACCTAACCTAACTGCCATTGTAAGCACATTACAGAAATAGATTTAGAACAAAATTTGATATGCCTGGTTCTATCTAAAAATATAATAAATCAATATTTAATGACGTTTTTCAAAATTTTACCCCTAAGGTGCATTAGGTTGAAAGTTTAATGAAGTTCGTCGTATAGAAAGAATCCATATGCTAACTCCATCCATGTACTAAAGCTTAAATAAGGTTAGGGATAAGTTTAGGGAAAAATATAAAAAAATATATACATAATTTATTATTATTATGTAAATTTATTTTAATACTTTTAGTAGTTTTAAAAAAAATATAAGCTATAAATATGTTTAATAAATTATTATTTTCGGGTTTTGCACCACTGATTAAGCTTGTAAGTCGTCTAAGAAATGTATTATAATACTTACGGGTAAGTGATTTTCATATTTTTAGGCCCACGTACAGGATTCCAAGCTGAGACAGGGTCTTTGTTAGCCAGCATTAGACCAGCTACTGCGCAATATAACCCATATTCTTGACACACCTTTTCCTTTAAATATAATTTTAAAATTGAAATAAAATTTTTGCATTTAAAGTTCTTAGACTTTGTTTTAGAAGTAAATATTATGTAATAAATCATTGTTGGTAGTAAAATATTTTCGAACACATCGTGAATTATGATGATGAAATTGATACCTACCCTCCATTCCGCAAGCATGAAGACAGCGTCGCTAAGAGTAGAAGCAGCTCTATCTATTTGAGCTGAATTTGAGAAATGTGGCATGTAGTTTTCTTCAATAAAATTCACAAAAGAGCTTGGTTGAGAAATAAATTGTTCTACTATTTCTCTTGGAGAGTGTGTAAATTGACTTCTTCCGTTAACATCAACAACTACTGTAAAGTTTTGTATTTAAAGCATAAATTTTTATCTCATTAGTCTTATTTTTGTTGGGTTTGAATAAAATGTATTATACAAAAACCCAGTTTCTGCAACAGGTGTCATAACCTTAATTAAATGTTATAGATGTTTAATAAATATAATTTATAATGTTAAAATAACTAAATAACATCACAGTATATATTTTACAACACAGGGGCTTCAGGGAACTTTTAGTGTCACTTACATGAAAGTTTTAAATATTAATAAATCTGTTACCTCTAGGGTTTAAAACTCTTCCAACTCCATGAAGAATATTGATACTTTGATCTTTTCCTATTGAAGTAAATTTGCTATTTGGTTTTTTCTTCTTAGTTTTAGTTTTCTGGTCTTTTTCCGTTATTATACTGGTTTCTAAACTTTGATCAGTACCTAAAAGAATATTAAAGCTAAGTTGTTACCTATGCTGATAGCCTTGAGGGGCTATTTCAGCTTTCTTTGACGTGTAGGTGAGCTCACGGGGCTCTAATCGGGAGCGTTGCTAACACTGGCCCTAGCAAGAGCAGTGCTTCGCAGAATCTACCACCGGATCGGAAACGCGACCCACTGAGAAGATCCGGCGAGAATCTCAGAGGGCTATGTCTATGTGTTAATTCACTCGTCGAGCCCTTCGTCGCAAGCGACGGTTTGGACGGGGGACGGTGACCGGTGCTTGTGGTACATAAAAGCACCGTTAATGGATCGGGAGGATCCGTAATGAGTAAGTTATGCTTATTATTATAAACTATCAATATAATATAAAGTTAGATTTATGATGAAATTAGATCATATAAATTACTTGATGCTAAAATAAATTTGATTTATAATCATACCTTTTAAACATGCAAAATGCAAATTTGTTACGGCTGACCTGACGTCGCCTGCTGAAGAGTTGACAACACATTCAATCAGGTCACTTGTAGGAGCATTGTACATTGATTTGTACTTTTTACTTATTATCTCTGCCATTCGTTTTAATGCAGACCGTAAGCCGGTTGTCGAAACACCATTAAAACTAATAAAAAATAAAAATATATTATCTATACATGTAAATAAAATTGGAGTCTGTTTGTAATATTGAAATAGGCTCTATTTAATAGATGCATATGAATATATATACGGTACATACACCAAAATAACATTCTTTACAATTTTTGTCTGTCTGTTTGTTCCGGCTAATTTCTGGAATGGCTGGACCGATTTTGACGGGACTTTCACTGATAGGTAGCTGATGATATAAGGAGTAACTTAGGCTACTTTTTTTAGACTAGATTCGCCACGCGGCTTCACCCGCGGTACGACAATAACCGCAGGTATAGTAACCGGCAAACATCGTGAGCAAATGACCTTGACTGCGCAGAACCGAATTTTAGATCACTTTGGTGGTGAGGGTGAGGCGCGACGGCAGGGGAAATCGTATCGAGCGCGTTATTGGTAGATCAGTCGAACCTTGCGTCCCGCACCGCGCCTTCGTTCCGCTTGCTCCCAAAAGTACGCTTGCGTACAGTGGAAAGTCTATCGTTATTAATCGTTAAGTTATTTGTTATAATTGCTTGTGGACTTTGTTGCCATTGCTATTTGTTGAGTGTTTGTTGATTTTTTATAAAACATACACTATGCCGTGACAAACTGGTGTAGTACTTAAAAGAAAGGGTAGAAAATTTGTGTACGACGTATATTGCTTCATTATAAAACAGGGGAAGAATGATATGGAAAAATTAAAACAGACTTCGGAAGCAACAAAAACATCAGTGAGTACTGTTAGGTGCATTATTAACGAAGCTAAAGGCTCTGGCTTGCTCGCCGTGTTTCGGACTCCGGGTAAGAAAAGATCAGGGAAGAAGAAAGTTACCGGAATGGATAGTTTCGTTCAATCTGTAATAAAAAGATGTAATCATAATAACTACATAACAAGCAGCGAAACTCCGTACCGTAGAAAGGCTTCGAAAAATTTAAAGAAGATATAAATTTTAATGGCTCGGAATGAAGCTTACGACGAATTATGAAAGAGCTAGGCTTCAGATGGAAAAAAAGAACAGAAAATAATCGGAAGCTGGTAAATGAAAAAAGTAACATTCGATTACTACGAATCGAATATCTTCAAAAAATAATTAATTATAGACAAAAAAGAAGACCGAATCGACCGAGTTGTAAACTACGCCGATGAGCCCTATGTCGACTCATCACGATGATAGCGACTCGGGTGATGAAAACAGTGATGATGATGATGGTCAAGATTATGATAACGAAAAAAAAATTACAAATACCAGCTTCGCTTCAACTGAACGAAGACCTGGCAACAGCTCTAGTTTTGACTTAATAGAAGGAATATCTATTTTACCCCAAGATTAAATTATTATAATTATTAACCTATATTTTTTGTTGATGTTCTAATAAATATATAAATAAATACATATGTTGATTTTAATAATTTAATTGCATTATGACGCAAAGTAAATAATGTTTTTGCATGTGAGTGTACCATGCGCAAACTTACCCCCACTACGTCAACAAATGCTCAAGAAGTTTGCCGGCTATTATAACATCGCGGGACTCGGCTATCAATAATAAAATTTAATGTTTCCGAAGCGAAGCGGGGCGGGTCACTAGTTAACATTAAGTTTGTATTTGTATTTAATGTCCTAAACGCAATTTAATTATGCAAAGTTCTTGACAAAAATCTTGTGTTATTGATGTCAAATAGATGGATTACAACACAAAATGAATAGGTAGGTATATAATAACCATAACTTTTCCTCAGTTTCGCCACATAGTATTGTTCCAGTGATTGTTCTGGGAACCAGTGCGTTATCTTGTCAGTGCAAGTACAAGTACAAGCTACTATTTCTCTCTTTTGGGTTCCAAATCCTTGTTTCTGTACTTACTTCGAATTACAAACGCAAATAAATCTAAACGCTTCCATTTTGTTTATTGTCTTTGTAGACAGAGAAACATAGGCCCCAACTGACGTTAAGTGGTTACTGTGTTACTCGTGGACGTCGGTAATGCCAGAGACACTACCAAGTCGCTTCCGAAAGTTTGTCTGTGCACATCAGTGAAATCATTTGGGCCATATCTCTTTCCTCAATTTGTTGTAAATTAGTGGTTGGTCTTTTTCGTAAAATCGATTAAGGGCAGTGCGTTATTTAGTCCGTTCGAACGCACTGTTACTTCGTTAAATTCACGTCGAAACACATTATTTTTATTTATAATCTTTCTCAGAAAACAATTTAATTTATTTATTTATTTATCGTATGGCATTCGTTTACACTGCGTGGTTATAATTGAAATTTATAGTTTGTGATTAGGGTTTTATAATTGACGCAGTGTAGTTGGAACCGGGAGATCCTCAGGAGGACAGTTCGGTTGCCAGGTTGTTGCACTATTAGCACCACCCAGGGGTCACGTGTAGGATAGCGGTGGGTAATCTCCTACGGACGTTATGCAACTTCGACCCCCATTAATGATTATGGTGTGATGCAGATTTCATTTTAGATGTCACTACATTAAAACAGGCAACTTTATATTATAACTCCCATTTATAATATTAATAACTCGTTCAACGCCATGACAGACACCGTGTGTCCACGGCATATATTACACCTTGGGCCGCACCAATATGTTAAGAATTGTCCAAAAATCGTTGAAGTATCTTTTCTCAAAATATATTGTCAAGATATAAATCAAACAATTATTTGATTAAAGTAAATTATACAAATGAAATTATCCAATAACCATAAAATAATAAATAAAGACAATTTGCTAACAGTTGCCCCACCAAAAGCACTGCTTTGCAGAATCAACCACACAAATCGGAACCGTGACTCATTGAGAGGATCCATCGAAACACTCAGTGGATTCAATACAAATAAACTCTTTTAATTATGACCTATGATTGTGGTTGTTAAAATTTCAAACAATATGTCTATTATTATATTCGTACAATATAGTATGCTCAGATGTGGCAAAGGCCACCTCTAACATGTCTCTTTTAAAAACAGCTTCATATATTGGATGAAACACCCATCTTTAAAATAATATACCTTCCTTTTTTTTAGTTCTGTATAACTTTTTTTTTATTTTTATTTCCTGATAAGTTGCATGTTTGGTAATTACCTAATATGATGAATATTCAGTTGGTTCTTCAGTTGATCACTAAATAAGTTTCCACTGGTGGTCTTTTTGTCTGTACTTGATTCAGAACAAATGAAAACAATTGGTGATTTTGCCCTCTGCTTGTATTGTCTGAAAGTTGTTTTAATTAAACAATTAAGTATAGTAATATTATTTCAGCCTAATGTAAATTGAGTATTGCTATAATACTTTGCAAAAATCTTGACATAACATCTTTCATGAACAATATCCATAAATAAGAACATCTATAAAAATATTTCATTGTTAAGGGCAATCTGCAAATAGTAAATTTCACTTACTGTAATACATAAACTAATTCTGAAGGGGTTCTCATAAAGGTGTTAGGGAAATCTTCTACTAACACCAGTTTTCTGTCATTATTATCAAGCAGTGAAGTAAAGTTGGCTGCATTTAAAATAAAATCCAAAAATTGAGTAGATTGTTTAACTTTAAATTCAAACTCTCCTGGAATTTAATTACTTTGTAATAAAGCAGATAGTAACAGGCAACTTCAATGTTTCTGTTATGCATTTATTGGTTAAAGCAGTAAGAGAAAGCTTTATAAAATATTGATATTTGCATACCATTATCATTAGGGAATTCAATATCAATAGGTGTAATCCACTCAGTAATTTTTACATTATGTTTTTTAGCTATAGTCAGCACTGTAACACTCTTGCCGCAGCCGACTGGTCCAGTAAGGAGCAACATTTCACTTGTATTCTTCTTTATGTTACCTAATATCCAATCTTCAACTTCTTGAACCTTTTTGTTGTGTATGGCCAAGTCATTGATATTGACCGGATCAAAATTCCGAATGTGGTTTTGATCAATGATATTAAAAATCATTGGTTTAATAGTGTTCGATTTTGAAAACTGAAATATTTGATATTTTTTTAATCAACATTCTATCACAATTCATTTTCATTATTATACTGTATAGTTTTAAGTATTTTACCAGTCCATAAAGTATCTAGATTTTTTTGTAGAGACAGGTGTTTGATCTCGTGGCCTCAGTGGTGTTAAGTGGTTACCTGAACCAATAAGCATCATTGTGTGTCTATGCCAGCAACCTTGAGAAATGAGGTATAAATCTCAATTGCAACGTCTAATACCTAAAACTGAAACGCATCTCTTCACCGCAGAAATAGGCAGTCGTGCGTACCTTGTTGTTGTTGTTTTGAGAATATCTAGTTGTACAAAATTTTACACCAAGACGAAAATTAATGCCTTACAATATTATTCTTTTTTGTCCTTACAGTTTTTTAAATCTGATAGAATGATGAGCACATTCCAATAACGTTAGGATTCCTAATTATATATTATCCTGTAATTATATATTATCCTGTATTTATCAGGTACATAGGTACTAATCTGCCTATAAAATTAGTAGATTAAAAATAGACTTATAATTTGTAAATACAGTAGAATTCATATACAACGACTTCGCTTATAATGACTAACCGCTTTTAACGACGATCATGATTACTCAAGTTAGGTTTCATAGCTAGGTACTGAGAAAATATAACCGTTTAGTGCGACTCCGTTTTAAGCGACCAATTGCTTATAGCGACTCTTAATTATGAATATTATGATGATACGTCCAGTTAAAATGACGCACAATGTTTTGTTTACATAAACTACCAATACCTCGGCGCCCCAAATTCACTCAGATTAGAAGCCAGTGAATCAAATGCAACCCTCGCAAAAGAGTTTGGCGTATCTCATTCTACAATATCAACAATAAAGGAGAATAAAGATAAGATCGAGCCGCTGTTTAATGCCAATGTTTTAAAATACAAACGTGTAAGGACTTATACTCATAAGTCGTGGATAAGGCATTGTTCCAGTGGTTCGAGCTTCAGCGCGACTGGGGAATACCCGTGAATGTACCTCTGTTACAAGAGAAAGCAATTTTTCGCTATACAGTTAGACATGCAAATTTTTACATGCTCCATGAGTTGGATAAACATATGTACTTAACATATGTACTGGTGTGGATTGGGAGAGGCCTATGTCCAGCAGTGGACGACTGTGGGCTGTTGATGATGATGATGATGATGATGATATGTACTGAAATAATTCTGCCGTTCTGTACGTCATCCGGTTAGTACGACATAGTTTCGCCGGTCCCTTGAAGGTCGTTATATCCGGATTCTACCGTATAAAAATTATTTTAAAATACTAAATGATAATTAAATTAAAAACAATATTCAAAATTTACCTTGGCTGGTGAACTCGTACCTTGTTTGTTTACATCACTTTTAAGCTTCTGCGGTGGAGGCTCGCTTTCATCAAAATCAAACAATGGTTCAAACCAGGTCTTATGCTGCAATATAGTTTTAAGAATTCTAAATTATCGTATTTGGAACTCAATGGCACCCTTGCCATAAAATTTTATTAATACTATACAATTTATGATTTAAAAAAAGGTTATGTACCTTTTTTAGCATTTTAATTCTCTGATCAATGTTATTACTTTGAATCAGTTTGAATTTAATGCGTCTTCCTTCCTTCCTGTCAGTAGGTCGGTACAGCCATAGATAACACACTTTATCATAGACTTTTTTTTTACAATTTATCCTTATTAGGAAAAGAAAAGGGATCTAAGCCCATACAGCTATCATAGACTATACACTTAATATTTGAGACTTTAGACTTTATAGGTCCCGGTAAAACGGGGTGATTACCCTCAGACACAGCCCACTGAGTTTCTCGCCGAATCTTCTCAGTGGGTCGCGTTTCCGATCCGGTGGTAGATTCTACGAAGCACGGCTCTTGCTAGGGTTCGTGTTAGCAACGTCGTCAGGTTTGAGCCCCGTGAGCTCACCTACTAGTTAAGGTTACGCTGGAATAGCCTCTCAAGGCTACCAGCTTAGGTAGGGAAAAAAGGGGGTGATTAGGGACAAATTACAAATTGATGAACAATTTTAAGGTAGTTGTTGATGTATAAAATACTATAAAGGATAAAAATAATTGAGTCTTGAGGGTATCTTTGCTATCCAATTTTAAAACTATGCAACTAGCATTCCAGTTTAAGCAAAAAAAATCAAAAATAGGTGTTCTCCATATTTACCCGAAAATTGCGGTTAATGGGGACGGAATTAGTGATAATAAAGACTACTGGATGGCACTACTTGGCTTTAATTTATTTATTTATTTATTTAGTTGCACCAACAAACTGATCGTCAGTAAAAAACATTGAAAAACTGACAAAAGTATATGGCAGATGTCACCTCAATTATAGGTGCAAATTGCAATCGACAGTGCATTGACAATAATAATAATCTATAAATATATATATATAAAACTGGATTACATTTAATCACTTATGATTAATTTATAAATATGGGAAATGACCCGTGACAGATTTTCCTGTAAGTTGTGAGACAATTAGAAAACATCTATTTCATTATTTAAAATTAGTTCAGCGCAATTGGACAACTCATAATGAACATTGACGGAGACCACGCTACAGCGTATACCGTGGACATTATTGTAGTCTCAAAGGATTCTTTTTAAGGGAGAGTATGCACCTACATTCGAACGAGCGGGCTTTCTTATAAACGATTTATATTTCTTCGTTCTTGGTAAGTACTTAGGGGCTGATATTTTTTATCTGGGTTAAGAGATTAGGTATGTCGGTTATTCCATGGATTAATCAAGTGGATACCCCCACTCTGAATAAATATGAATATATTTTATTATGTAGGTATTACTTAGACATTTTTGTCCACCTTGAGATTTCATTGTTCTTGTTACATGTCTGTGCAAAACCGACTTATATTAAATTGCTTCGCTATTTCAACTAAACACTTATTCCCAATTCCATAGGCTTATATTGCTGTTTTTGTTAGTAACGGTGGTTTACTACACATTTAAACCTGAAGAAACTCTAAATAGACAAAATAAAACAAATCACACAACTTCACTCCTCGCGTTCCCGCCAAAACGTCCTGAAAGTCTATAAGTTTGATGAAATAGAACTGAACGGATGGACACGGCTCGTTTCAGACAATCATAGACATCTTAAATATTTTTTATATTTTGTCGAAAGGGCTACTAAGATTTTTAATACATCAGCTATTCCTACAATATTACTAAGATGTAATTTTGTTTTCATCTTTTCTGATTCAATTACATCTAATTATGTTTGTATCATGCAATTGTTTCATAGCTTTGAAATTTTGGTTGTATGAACTATGTTCCCTTTGCCGGTTCACCAAGAATCAAGTAAGAATAATCTATGCCTAGTTCATTTTTAAGTTACGTAAAATAATTAAAATTAAATAATATTTATATTGTTGAGGTGAATAAACTACGTACTTATGTCCTTTATTATAATTAGTATTTAAATAAGTAACTGTGTTTCTTGTGTTGCATAAATCTTCGTAAAACTATAAAAAACCTAACCATCAGCTGTTCAATCTGTAATCGCGAATATTATTGTTGTGACAAAATTTGTTTTATTTTTCAGCATAATGCAAGCTATCAAGGCTTTGGGGGCCACTTCTCCTAATACAGTGCTTTCATTTATGAAAAAGGGTGTCTTTACACCTGTTGTTAGTCAAATACGTGATACTCATTTACCTGCACCGAATCCTACTGAGAAACGACCATACTCACCCTTCCAAGATGCTAGTAATATGGCAGAGATGGCTGTGGCTCGACTTGATGACTTATTGAATTGGGGGAGGAAAGGTTCCCTTTGGCCCATGACCTTTGGTCTAGCTTGCTGCGCTGTAGAGATGATGCATATTGCTGCACCTCGCTATGATATGGACCGGTAATTATTTAAATTTATGAATTATTCTCTAAATATTATTAAAAAACTTATATTCATCAAGAAAATTGAATATATCACTAAAATATGTTCGTAAAATTCTAAGGATGTTAGATAGTTACATTTAGAAAATTTTAAATTTTCTCTACATACTACTGTCACTACTCACAATTATTGTGGCCACTTATTTAAAAAAAGGTAAAAAACATCACTTACCTACATATTTGTTTTTCTAATTTTATATAAATAAATCATATGGTTTTAATTTACCTGTGGCGACAAAAGTAAAAACTTTTTGCACAATTGTGCAGTTTAAAAGTAATCAAGTGAATGCAATGTTATATGGTATAGATTTATTTGTAAGAAGATGGAAAACCTCTTTCTATTCAAGTTAATTGATGATTTCTTTACATATCCAAAATAGTTAATGGTTCTACCCTGCAAGTAATATTTAAGCAATTTATGATACAACTAATATTGCTCATAATTCTCTGCAATGAATTTTAGACATGTCTCCTAAAGTAACCAACTATGTGAAATTCATTGTTTTTACATTTGTATATGATTCTGCTTCACAGATATGGTGTAGTATTCCGAGCATCTCCCCGTCAGTCTGATGTAATGATTGTAGCAGGAACTTTAACAAACAAAATGGCTCCAGCTTTGAGGAAAGTGTACGACCAAATGCCTGATCCCAGATGGGTCATTTCAATGGGTAGTTGTGCTAATGGAGGTGGCTATTACCACTATTCATACTCTGTCGTAAGGTATGTGCATTATAAAAAAACCTATTTTTAAAGTTACAACCAATATGTGAATATAATTTGAAATAACCAGGTTTGTATCAATATTATACATTATACATGTGTGATCGATCAGTCTGTGGAAGATACCTTTATCGAGTGTCTTTCATTCGTTGTTAGAAAATTGTTTGTCAGTTTGAGTAGTATCAGTGTCTTGTCAATCTCCTTATCTAAATAAAATGTTACCTGTAAAGTGCATTTAAATTTTTATTTAAAAGCTTTTGTTTATGGCTTGAAACTTAATGAAATTTCTTACTGACAGAAGAAAATAATGAAATAATGACTTTCAGAAAAATCAAAAAGAAGAATAGCTGCTTTTTAAAGCTGAAAAAGTGTTTTTGCTGTGCTTAATGTTTTTTTCTTGCAGTTTGTATTTTGAAATATGAAATATGATTCAAAATCTTATTTTCAGAGGATGCGATCGTATTGTACCAGTTGACATATATGTACCCGGATGTCCACCTACAGCTGAAGCTTTACTTTATGGTGTACTGCAACTACAAAAAAAAATCAAGAGAATGAAAACTATTCAAGTGTGGTATAGGAACTAATTGATCCGATTATAGTTTATGTGAATAAAATCATGTTAATTACATATATGTTGTTAGTTAATTTCAGTTTAATAATAAATTATTAGGTATACTCATAGTACAAGCATTAAATCTTTTTTATTGTAGTGGTGTTAGTTGTTTTTACCGAATACAATATGGTACTGACAGTCTTTTCTATAATTTTATTATAATAAGTGTTAAGATTATTGAAGTAAAAATGTAATAATTTTTTACCATAATTACAGTTACAGATAATTTAGCATTAGTTAACCATTTACTTGGATTACCAAGTAAAATTGCCAATCTACCATTAAGTAACAATTTTACTTGGTAATCCAAGTAAATTTTTGTCTAATGGTAGGTTGGCAATTGTATAAAATTTAAGACTAGATAGAAAATTCCCTTAAATTATCTAATTAATATAGTATAAACAGGATTATAGTTGTAATGCCCTGTGTCCTGGTAAGCTGGATACATCTAGTCTGCAGCAATCCTTAAATTCCATAAAAACCTTTTTAATGATATTATGAATTTGGAGGAATTAAGTGATACTTATTTTTGAAAAACGTTCACTCTACATCTTTTCTGCCACACTCAATTATTACTCAAGCTTATAATAGCGAACAATCCATCTGGTGTTAAGTGGTTCCCCGGACTTGGACAATACAGCATGCCCCCGCCAACTCACCTTGAGCATCTGATCGAATGTTCCTTTGTTTTGTTAACGGCTGTCTAATCTTTCCAAGGGCAGTGCAAGGTTACTGTTTTGTGACAGCATGAGTAAGGATCGTTCCAAGCCTTATCGTTCGATCGTTACATCTCACCATAAATTACGCAAATTTAAATTTTTTTATTTTCGTAACAATGTTATTATTTCGCCTTTGAACGAAACGCCTTTTTTGAAGTCGTCGTGGCCTAAAGGATAAGACGTCCGGTGCATTCGTATCTAGCGATGCACCGGTGCTCGAATCCCGCAGGCGGATACCAATTTTTCTAATGAAATACGTACTTAACAAATGTTCACGATTGACTTCCACGGTGAAGGAATAACATCGTGTAATAAAAATCAAACCCGCAAAATTATAATTTGCGTAATTACTGGTGGTAGGACCTCTTGTGAATCCGCGTTGGTGGGTACTACCACCTTGCCTATTTCTGGCGTGAAGCAGTAATGCGTTTTGGTTTGAAGGGTGGGGCAGCCGTTGTGACTATACTGAGACCGTAGAACTTATATCTCAATGTGGGTGGCGCATTTACGTTGTAGATATCTATGGGCTCCAGTAACCACTTAACACCAGGTGGGCTGTGAGCTCGTCCACACATCTAAGCAATAAAAAAAAAAACGACGAGATCGCCACGCCACCCACCTTGAGATATAAGTTCTAAGGTTTCAAGTATAATTACAACGGCCTCCCCACCCTTAAATCGAAACGCATTACTGCTTCACGGCAGAAACAGGCAGAGTGGTGGTACCTACCCGCGTGGACTCACAAGAGGTCCTACCACCTGTAATGTCGTCTGTAATCACCTAAGAAAATAGGTTGGTTTGAATACCAGCATAGTCGTAATTGTGATCAATCGATACAGGTAGTCGGCAAATGTGTTATGGAAAATCCACCATGGTAATTTTGTTGTTTTAACTTACTTGTTTACTAAACACCTGTCAACCTGATAAAACGTAGACAACCTATCTTTTGTTTTATTTGTATGTGCAACTCTATTGATTTAGTTTTAAAGAACGATAGCTGTTATCGGCGAAATTAAAATACTTGTACCATTTTTGGTGACAACCCTAGCACATTTACTACTTCAACGACCGATAAAGGTCGATGCCCGAAGGCCTTTAAAAATTTCGATGTTGTAATTATCCGTAAAAGGATAGTTTTTTAATGGTTACCAGTGTTAAATATTTACAAGGATCTAACAGAATCTAACTGATAGCACATTTCATAACTTTTAAATGTCACTATCCTCTTTGAGAAGTGTTTGAAGTTTTTATTTTATTGGTGGTAGGACGTCTTCTGAGTCTGCACGGGTAGGTACCTTCATCCCGCTAATTCTGCCGTGAATCAGTAAAGCGGTTCGGTTGGAAGGGTGGTTTTTAAAAAAATTAAAATTAAGAATTTATAATAAATAATATACTGTAAAAACTGAGATTTAGAATTCATTTTTCAATGTGGGTGGCGGCATTGACGTTGTTGTCATCTATGGCATCCGCCCTTCGGTAACCACTTAACGCCAGGTGGCTCCTGACCATTCCATATTTTTATTACCTTGGCCTAATATTATGACTTGGGTAATTATGTACCGTAAACTAAAATATTAACTTTATTTTAGTTGGCTTGTTAATGTAGTTTTATTTATCATAGAATAGAATAAATTTTGTAAAAACCTGATTCACTAACGAAATTTATAAGTTTGCATATATGTACAAGTACTGAACCGTAGCATTCGGATAATCTTTGTGAATCTTTTCGCTACACTCTGTGCTGTTTGTTGGACGCTAATAGTACTAACAATAGCAGCTTGAAAATCTCAGGTCATCGAGCTCGCTGAAGAGTTCGACGTAACACTAGTCTCTAGTATCGGCTCGCAGTTTTTTTGCTAGAATTTCCCTGTTGGTGCGAATTGGATCCGATGGTAGATCCCAAACTGCTGGCTTTGAGCTTGTTAGTCTTCGGACAGCTGTTAACAAACCCTGCCCGACTATGCTCTAGAGTTCACACATCCGTTCTAGCTAAGCGGCAAAGCATCCGGAGCAACCGCAATCCTTTCCATATCAAAAAATGCATTCCGTTCGTCGGCCTACGCGAAAACGACATCTGTTCGATGGAGGATATTCCTTTGGCGGGTAGCCATCATACAACATACCTCCCCGAATCCTGATCACGCAGGAGCCAGTCACCGTCGACGCCCTAGACACGTCCTTACGGATCCATCAGATCCAATAACCTTTGCATTAGACGCCTTCAGCTCTAACACTAGGAGTAGGCTTAGGGACCCCTGTAACCGTACTCGTCGAACTCGACAAAGAGTTCGCCGCGCAACCTAACCCATGAATCAGCTCGCTGAGTTTCTCGCCGGATCTTCTCAGCGGGTCGCGGTTCCGATCCGGTAGTAGATTCATTCGCGAAGCAGCTACTCTTGAGCTGTTAGGTCTCCTTCGGAGGCGCTCGGGTAGCTGTTAGCAAATCCCACCCGTCCTGGCTGAGCCTTTGCTCGCCCACCTGTCCTGGTGAAACTGGAAAGGCCTCCGGGCCAACAGTAATCCTTCAATCATAAAAAAAAAAAACAACATTCCTAAGACATTTGACAGATGCCCGAATCTTGCTTTCAGCATTTTCAAGATACGTTTGCATAAAGAAACAAGTTCCGAACAACAAATTGGTAGACAGCGGATTGACTCTGCTCCTGGCATTGCTGAAGTCCATGGGCGACGGTAACCACTCACCATCAGGTGGGCCGTGTACTCGTCTGCCTACAAGGGCAATAAAAAAAAAATCGGACCGTCGATCTACCGAGCAATAATATCACCCGCTCGGTGGAAGATCTTCCCTATGTCGTATACTTCCAAATTCCCTTTGCCATTCCTTCTAATGTATACCGGTTTTTATTTTTTATAATTTCGATTCTAAACAATTTACCAGGAGAAGATTGGCGGTGAATAAGTGGCGTAATGTAAATGTTTTAAAGTAATATGTATTGTATGAAACGTTACACAATGTTGGCTCTCACATACGTACGTCAAGGAAGAAATATTTTTTGAGTAATCGAATGTGTGTATTATTCATTAATTTTACAATATGGAATGCTCTTAAGTTTTTTTAATTTATTTAACTATCAACAGTTCATATTTGGCAAGATTGACGCTTGTAAAGTAATAAAACTGTCTTAAGCCTCCCCATATGAAACTGGAAAGGTCTCTGGGCCACCATTATATACCTCATTTATAAAAAAAACTTTAGTCAAAAAATTCTTAGGAATTTTTTTTCCAATAAAGATTACTTGGAATTTGGCGTATGTGGAGTAGTTTTGGAATAAAATAACTTCGTAAGTATTCTAATTTGGAATTCCATTTCGTACACAATTTTTTGGTGGTCACAGAAGATTGTGTTGTATTTTTTTGATGAAGTAACAGGATAAAAGGAATGGGTATAGAAATAAGCTTTTGGTATAAAAATCAAAAGTTTTAATGGTATTTTCCGAATCGCACCAAGCTTTCAATTACTTTTAGTATACGGTATAGTTTTGTATAAACTACATTCAATTTGCGATTTTTTTCTGAAACTGGAACGCAATCCGTTTTATGTGCCTTAAAACTTGCTGAGTTTAATTTTGTCTGACAAGTGCCCTGCGATCTGATATTGTTATGTGGCACGTTACATTCACAAACATTGTTGGTACAAAGACAAAAATCAAATACAATTAATTAATTAGTTCACTGTTTAGTTAATGTGGTTGACAAATGAGTTTTTACTATATATATTTGAAATGTATTAAATTTGAACGTTACCTCAATTACCACTGGATCTAAATACCTGGTAATGACACTACATTGATGTCAGACAAAATGTATTTCACAGTATTATGTAATAATATCACATATGTTTAAATGCAATAAAACAATTATATCATTCGCTAAATAACTGAAATTGTTCTACTTCATCAATCTCTAGGATTGTTAATAGAATAAATAAATAAAAATACACTGGTACAATCGAAAAACCATTGAGATTTTTAACGGAAGTGAAACTGAACTCCCGGTACAATAATAATTTATGGGATTTTCCTTTGTATGACATTAAATAAACCAATTCTATATTTTAACACTAATTTACAGCCTAATATTTACATTTTATTTATAGGTATATATAAATATGTATAATTATATCGATAGGTGTTTCGATAATCCTATTCTCATTCACGTAATCAGCGATTTTATGTATAATTAACTAATAATGGTCACGATAACAACTCGATAGATATTTTCACGTAAATAAACAAGCAGCTGTGTACATGCAGGCGCGCGGCCAGTGTTCGCCTCCTATATTGCACAAGTCGAGAGCAGCCTCGCCTGCGTCGCCCTCTGTCGACCACAGTCCTCGCTCTCAATCATTCTCTACTCCGGACGAGCACGTGTATCGATAACGAACAAGTCGTCCTTCGAAACGTCGATTACGCTATCCTATGTACAGAGCGGAGACACTATCATCGCGGCTCCTCCTTCTTGAGCAGGTCGAGTGGCGCCAGAGGGGCTAGGGGCGGCGCGAGGGGGGCCAACGGTGCCAGCGACCCGTGCCCGCCCAGGGGACCCAGTTGCGCGCCCGGAGGCAGCGCTCGATGTAAAAGCGGACTCGCTTTCATTTGCTGGTGGTGAGCATACGCACTCAACATCTTAGCGCGATCTTCTTCCGCTCGAATAGCAGCTTCGACGAGTGGCGCGAACCGCATATGTTGGAGCGGGTCAAATCCGCGATACGGGTCCCAGTGAGGCGGTGGGTATCCGGGTAGGGGGCCGCTTGAATGCCGAGGAGGCTCCTTGCGTTCTTCTTTAAGAGTCTCGAGTGTACCGTTGCGAAGTGGAGATCGCGTCCTCACTCTCTCCAGTTCTCTGTCACGTTGCTCTCGTTGTTCTCGAGCTTTCCGTCGCTCTCGTTCGTCTCGGTCGCGTCGCTCTCGTTCTTCCCGCTCGCGTCGGGCTCGTTCTCGTTCCTCGTGATCTCGTCGTGCTTCAGCGGCGGCGGTGGCGGACACCGGCGGCGGTCGGGCTCGCCACGCATCGTGCAGCGCTCCCAGAGGCGGCGCGTGATGTACGCCATGTAAGGATGACGACAGTGCCAGCTCTCGGCCATAGGCAGATAGACCGAAACCAGGTGCCGTCGGTGGATATGGCCCCGGACCGTAACGACTGAACGGAGACATTCCTGCAATATTCAAGAAAAAAACTTTAATAAACCTTTATTTAAAATGTAACTAAATGAATTGAAAAACCGAAAATTTTCTTTTTTTTATTGCTTAGATGGGTGTACGGGCCCACAGCCCACCTGATTGTTAAGTGGTTACTGGAGTCCATAGACATCTACAACGTAAATGCGCCACCCACCTTGTGATATAAGTTCTAAAGTCTTAGTATAGTTACAACGGCTGCCCCACCCTTCAAACCGAAACGCATTACTACTTCACGGCAGAAATAGGCGGGGTGGTGGTACCTACCCGTGTGGACTCACAAGAGGTGCTACCACCAGTAAAAACCAAACTAAACAGGATAGCAATTTCAAAACTGTTTAATAATCAATAGTTAGTTACCAAGGTGCGGATGATGTGGCAAATACGGAGAGGGCAGCTCATACGGTGACCGATACGGGGCGGGAGGCGGCGGTAGCGATCTGAGCTTATCTTTATTATCTCCGCCTGCACCAGCCTTCTCCTTCTGCTGATGGTTGTATATCTCCCATGCGATTCTTACATGCATCGCGTTCCATTTTCCAGTTTTCTGCGGGTCATAATATCAGTTATTAGCCTTATTATTCATAGAACAAAAAAATACAATATCATATATAATACATAGAAAAGAGCATGCAAGAAGTGTTTGTGCGAGGAAAGTGACGTACCGCGAGGACGGGGCGCGGTGTCGGTTTAGAGGCGGAGTCTGTTGCGGCGGACACTACGGGCTGTTAACATGATGTGATGCAGGGTTAATGGTGACAGCAACATAAAATTTGAAACAAGCGTTACATATAAAAGCTACCTAAAACTAGTGGAGTCCGATTATGGAAAGAAGAATGTATATGTATATTCAATATAATACAAGATTGTGAAATTAGGATAAGCAAAATAATAAACTAGTTTTTAATTTTAAAAGTCGAACTACTTATGTACTATGAAAAACGTTCATGATTCATGAAGGTTAAACACAGAATTACAATTGAAGTAAAAGTTGTAATTTGATGATTTAATTTTGAAATGTGATGAAGTTTTTTATTTTTCTTACCTTAGGTGTGTAGGAAGTGAGAGGGGCCGGCGGCACGTAAGGCGGTGCAGGATGTAACAAACTCGATGAATATGGATAGCCAAGTCCAAGACCGGTGCGGTATAGTGAAGACATTTTTCCGACGTCTTTGAACTGTAATTTAAAACAAATTCATCGTAAAAAAAAGGGTGCGTGTAGTTATTATGTACGCGCGTAAGAAGTTATACTTTATTCTTATTAAAAAATTTTTTTTTTTTAAATATCAAATAATTAATATTTAACGTTAAAAAATGAATGCTAATAACACATTTTTTTACGAGTGTACATGCGCGAAAGTTCACCTGCGGCTATATTCAGACTCGCCAAGTTACGTCGATCGTATCGTAATGAGCGATTTAGTGGGCAACTAACTTCATTTCTGATAATTTTGTGTCACGGTGCGCATCATAAAATTTCACTCTCATCAATTTTTCATAGCGCGTCTAAAGAAGTATAACTTCAACTAGATGTATTACGAATGTCCTTAACTTATAATCTTATGAAGTCATAAATATCGATATTTGATTTATAAACTACAACGTAGCTTTGTATATTATGTAGTCGTTTTAATTGAAAGACTTTAGTAAGCGTGCCTTGATCGTTTCGGCTAATGGTTTGATACTAAAAATTTTAATTAGCTATTCCAGAGTAGCATTTGAAGAAACAAGCTAAAGATTAGGACCCTAAAGTCATAATTATTAGACATTTTATGATATTATTATGTACAAATGACAATTGGCTTAACAACTATACTGTGATATATTTTCACGATTTCTAATCTAATGCTATATAGACAGTAATTTTGCCTAGAGAAACCTTTCAGGCAATATTGGCCCACTGGTAATCTGTAGTATAGTATGTATGGTTGTACTAACGAGAGGCGCGTGCGGCACGAGGAGCTGCGGGTGGTGCGGCGGGTGCGGCGCGTGGTGCGCGGCGTGCTGGTGCACGTGCGTGTGCTGGTGCTGGTGCTGGTGGTGGTGCAGCTCAGTGCGCGCGCCCACCGCGCCCGCCACCGCCAGGAACCGACTGTCGAGCTCGCGACGCAGCAGGTCTGCACCGGGACCTAACAATGTCCGACACACTAACTTTTATGTCTCGTACGGCTAACTTAAGGGCGGTCGAATACGAAAGTATTTCTTCAAGAATCTAAAATATTTCGGTCTTCTTGATACAAATCAACATGAATAAATAACACACAGCTCAAATGATGTAAAATGTATCTTCTATACTAATATATAAGTCTACAGTGGTTTTTACGGATGTTCCGTTATAACTACTGAACCATGCATCCGATTATTTGAAACTTCCATGTAGAAAATACATGCACTTAATGGATAGGCTAACATTTATATGAGTGTTGGACTTCCTAATAATAATGACAATAAATAATAATGTTAATTTTAAATACCCAGCGAAGCGGGCGAGTACGGCTAGTAATTTATAAAACCTTAATAACACTAAGCATCATGTTCTCGCATGCCATATTGTCAGCTTGTTCGACAAAGAAGTCCTTGTATAAATCAGCCGTCAGTTATAGACAGACAATTGGTGGCAGATCACTATCAGTACCACTGTCCTGAATAATTCTACCGTGTAAAATTAGCTGTTAGGTACTATAATACAATTTCAGACTTCAACCTCGTGTGTCAACATAGATAGCGACCATAGCGCGCCGTGAGCAGCGTGGAGTCTGGTAAACACTGGGAACCAAAAAGGCGACAAGCTCGTTACGCATTTTAGAGAATAGATTTTGACAAAAATATACGAACTCGATTGAAATAGTGACTCTGCTGAGAAAGGGTTAGGATTGGGCGTCGGAAGTGGTGCGCCGAATAAAGCAGGAGCGCTCGCGAAGCCTGGACCACGATCGGCGCCGGTTGCCCTGCTGGAATGTACAATTATTGGTAAATAAGCATTCAACAAAACAAGTTCATTCAAAACTATGTCATAGTAAATTAGCTCTTTTTCTATAAGGCCTATTTTCCCCTTTATTAATGATACGACTAGTGGAAAATTTATATGTGAAAACAATATCTAGAAAGGTCTATTATTAAGTATACTTTAGGTTGAAATTCTTAAAAAAAAATTGTTAATTTATGTGTTCGAATCAACAGAAAATGACACTGATTAATAATAATAGTGTTAAATGTACATGGACTTCGATTGGTACTTACGTGACACCCCAGTGGGCCGGTGGTTTGGCGCTAGAGCTGATGCTAGGCACAGTGGGCACGGGCGCCAACGAGTGCGTGAGGTGCGGAGCGGCGGGCGCAGCAGGCGTGGGGGTGGGCGTCGCCAGCGGGGCGCCCAGACCGCCCGCTAGTGGGTTCGACAGCGGACCTCCCATCGGACCGACCAAAGATGCTCCCAAGGCAGACGGTAAGGGACCCTGGAACGTATACGATTGAGCATAGGTTAGACTAGTGATCAGCAAAATTGTCTATAGGTCAACATTATAATGCCTAAATAAAATAAAACAAAAAATGTTGTGGTTTATTTTGTGAAGTAATTAGAAATAATATAGTAAAATATATCCAATAACGTGAATCCATAAGAAAAAGTATTTTGAAGTGAATAAATGGATAGACAAATAAACAGAATCGCTATCCAACAATTTTGTAGTAACAAATATAGACACAAACTGAAGTGTTTGCCGTCCTATCATATCCGTTCGGAAATCCCAGTGTTTAGTCAATATTTTTATTCTCAGAAAAAGCTAACCCTAAAGATATAAATAAGGAAATTATAAAACACTTAGTTAACACTAGCCAGATTGAACTATGTTGAATAGTGACGTCAATTTTCACGTGCGTATTCATATCGAGTTAGTTATAAGAGCAATACCATCCCTGGTAGAACTACGATCACCTAGCCCGTGTTCGCACACACATGCAAGATTTATAATATAAATTTATAATATATAAGATTGCGACGTATTGTGTCCCTGCACAGGTCCATCATCTTGCCAGTTTTTAACACAAAGTACCATATATTCTGGTTTGAAGGATGCAACAGCTATTATTTAATAAAATTGAGACTACGGCCTCATGTTTCATATTCATGGTGTGATATTTATAGACTCTAGTAAATCCTTAACAAACAGGTAAGCCGTTAATTTATCTGGACTCATAGAGCAAATATGAAAACTCCTTAATTGTTAAGGAAAATTTCTTGAGATAGCTAATAACATAAGGTTTGCCTGCCCTTTAGTAAATATTTATTAGTCAGAAAAGGCAGCGGTAGGTAGCGGCTTGGCTCTGCCCCTGGCATTGCTGACGTCCATGAGCAACGGTAACCACTTGCCATCAGGTGGGCCGTATGCTCGTCTGCCTGCCCGGGCAATAAAAATAAGGACAAATATTACTGGTTAATAAAACTATTTTACCGGGAGCGGGGCGGCGAGTGGTGCCGCAAGCGGAGCGGCGAGCGGGGCGGCGAGCGGAGCGGCGAGCGGCGCGACCAGCGGTGGAACCAGGGAAGGCGCAGACACTGAACAGGCGACTGACGCTGGTGTGCTGCGTGATAAACTACTGATGTTGCTGTCCGATTAAAAAAAGTATTGTTTATTATTGTTCCGTAATTACAACTTATACTAAAGTAATATAATTCCTTTACACACCTATAACTCTCACGTTCCCGCGTTGGACTGATTCCGCGCGGTGAATATGAATGTGATGCGCCTGCTGCCCCCGTAGAGCCCGGCGTGTGCGGTCTTACGCCTTTTGGTGTTTTAGGTGCTACCAATGGTGACGCCGACAAATTTGTTCTCTGTAACCGACAAGTGGGAGTTAGTTTGCCTACTAAATTATGTGGTAAAACATTTCATTGTAATGAAATGGGACTCACTGTATCTGCAGAATTCCTGGGAGACGCCGCCGTCGGTGGTAGATATGGACTGTGTTGTAAGGATGTAGCGTAAGGCGCATACAGGGGTGGATATGTACCACCCGAATAAATCGCTGGTGGTGGGTACCCATTCATTGGAATAGAGGAACTAATTGAAGCACTCTCAGAGCGCGACGGTAATTCAGTAGAGGGTATAGGAGCCTGCCTAGAATCTATGACCGGAAGAGGTAAATGACCACTAGTGGTGGTGACGGGTGTTACAACAGGGTGTGATGTACTGGTCGTTGATAAAGAATCGATGTGGTTCATTGCTATTGGAGCAGACGTAGGTATGATAGGAGAAATATGTTGAGGGAGACTTAATCCATGATGCCTAAGACTAGAGTAGTTTGGAATCGAACTAGACGTCGGCGTTATAGACATCGGTTGGGCCATGCTATGGCTCGGGGTAGACGTAGGAAGTAAGCCAGTGTTGCTTACAGGAATATGATTTGTGATGGAATGACTATTAATGGGATGGCTCATGTGTGTGGCAGTCGTTAGGTTCGACACTGGTTGTTGAACATTACTAGACGATATGTGATTTGCAACACTGAAAGGAGCGAGATGAGACGGCCGACTCGCAAATACTGGTTGAACGGAATGTTTCTGTAAGCTCGGTTGATTCTGATACGGCATTGAATGAATACTGGAACTCAAACTGGAGCTTACATGACTAGACCCAATAGACGGGACGTGATAAGGACGAGAATGGGGGGTTGCCGGAGACGCAGGTCGCGTGGGTAGAGTTTGACTCGGAAGACAATTGTTTGTATTAGTTGTTGTCATCGAAAGTGGCGTTACGCTCTGCGATACGCCGCTGATGCGATTCGGATAAGAGGTAGGAACAGGGGTATTGGTCTGTGCTCCAGTGGGAGGGTTGCGAACTTCGTGACCTGGTATAACTGGATAAGGCTGTGAATGTGGAATACGGCTCGACAAATTAGGATGAGAAGGTTGTGTTGCAATCGATGCAATATGAGGAGGACGTGGCGCGTGATGCGCTTGAAGATCAAGAGGTGCTTGAGCTTGCGAGTCTTGAGAATCTGTCCGCGTCTCGTGGTTTGTGTGTCGATAGTCTGGCAGTGCTGCAGCCGCATGTGACTGCGACTGGTAGGCTGTATGCGACGGGAAGAGCGGCGACGGCGCTGGTGGCGCGGGCGGTGCAGGCGTCGGGCTGTCCGTGGATGTGCGAGCACATGGTTGTAGTTTGTTATTATTGCTGGCTGGACGCTCTGGTGTATCGGGACCGGCGGCTCCTACTGGTCTCGCAGGGATTTGAGTTGCGGCATGTCCATCGAGTGTCGGAATATGCGCCCCGTTAGGCCTATGAGGTGTATCTGCCCTGAAAGGCGGCGGCGGTAAGGCCGGTGGAGGCAGCGCGGCAGGTGCGGGAGATGGGGCAGGTTGCGGCAGCGGTGCCGGCGCCGGGCTAGCACTGCCCCCGACAGGTGCTCGGGACAGAGCCAGCGCACCACCGCTTCCACCTCTTGCAACTAGCTCATTTTTCCCAGCGCCACAACCGCCGCCTGCACCTGCACTTACAGGATTTGTACCNAAAGGCGGCGGCGGTAAGGCCGGTGGAGGCAGCGCGGCAGGTGCGGGAGATGGGGCAGGTTGCGGCAGCGGTGCCGGCGCCGGGCTAGCACTGCCCCCGACAGGTGCTCGGGACAGAGCCAGCGCACCACCGCTTCCACCTCTTGCAACTAGCTCATTTTTCCCAGCGCCACAACCGCCGCCTGCACCTGCACTTACAGGATTTGTACCAGCCACACGTAATAGAGAGCCCGCATCGGATGCCTGTAAAATATAAAATATTTTATACATCAAAGACTTCGAGAATTAAAAAGTTAAAACAATATAAAAAACTACTAACATCATCCATGGAAACGTCATGATATCTCGGTGAAGCGTTTCGACTATTTTCTGGACTGGCCTGTAACAATTTGAAAAAACATTGTGAAAAAATGATGTATTTTTTAAGGTTCAACAATTGTAAAGTAAAAATATTAGAAGATATTAATAATAATAAAGAGTTTGGCTACCGGCGAGCCAGGCTTGCACCTTTGGCCTTCTTTATAAAAGTTGGGAGCAGCAGTATCATAGTCCATTTTAGTAAAAAACACCGAATCAACTTCGCTTCAAACATGATCGTATGTCTCAAATTTCTAAATATTCACGTCAGCACGTTTGTATTATGCACTTCGTTAGTATTCAGAGTATGCATGTCTCTATCTATTGTTCAATTTCGAACACAAAGACCGCCTACGAGTTTTTTTGTATTCAAGATGCAATCACATCTCACAAATAATAGGCAAATGATAATGAGGCAAAACCAGAACAATATGAGAGTTACACGGTAATGTTGTTTCAAAATTAACAGGACGCGATTCTTTTTTACATTTCTTTGAGTAGGTACTACGTGATCTAGAAGTAAAACGTATGTTTAAAACTGGAGACCGGATCTTCGAGTGATGCATTCAATATCTTTATTACATTTACTTAGAGTTATTAAAACGTTGGTTAATATTGGTACGTCGCAGGTTGATGCTGTATGTCTGTCTGGCATTGCTACTGCCTATGAGCGAGGGTGAGATCACTTATAATTAGGAGGGTTTTTATGTTCGTTTGTCTATGAATGAAAACTAAGTTCATGAATGATAAGAGGCCTAAAACGTATAGTCGAACATATAAATACTTCATGTTATCTTTAATGATATTATATTTCACAGCTATTATTAAAAGTATATGGTAGGCGATTATTTAATGTTAGTGATTTAAAAGTTACCGCTTGGTCTAATCCTGTAATTATGACGTGGTTCCATTCGGAGTTGGGTTTATGTTTTTCATCACCTATTTTCACATAAGTTCATGGCGTAAGTCTAAGTAAACTGTGGAGTATTTAAAAAATGAATAGGAAGTTATTTATCATCGAGTTATTGAAAGATATTTATGAGCTCCCGAGAGTAAACTACGATAAAGCTGCATTATAATAAGTAGTGAAACAGCCCACAACTTTTATGGCGATAGACTTTTAAAAACTTCCGTTTCAAATATGAACTTTAAAATGCGATACAGTTTATCAATTACTTTTATTAAATTCGATGACAATTACGAGTATATCATTTAATAAAAATAAACACGGGTTTATCAGCATATTAGAGGTAAAATATCTGAATGTCAAATGCCAAGTAAATTAAAAGAACTGTGCTGTTTATCAATAAAATTAATTTATTTGCAGATAACCTTTTTTCTTCATTACAATTATTTGTGAAAAGATGTTCCTAGAGCTGTGTTGCGCACATCATTTTATAATAAAATAATTCGAATTAGTATCCACTTAAAAGGCGAAGTGTCAGGAAGAAATAGTCAATCGATCGAGTATAAGGGAACAAATCGCTTTGGGAGCGTTCCGGCAATTGAATGTTTAGCCTTATCCGGTGGGGGTGGGTCGTCGCTCCGCAACAATGGAGTGATAAATCAAGTAGGTATAGGTCGCGCGTGCCAACCGGCAGCCAGCTCACGATGGCACCGCGTCTGGTCTCCGCAATAAGATCCAAAGATGCCGCAAATCCTCATAGTATTGTTTTACTTTCGAATTTACACGTTTATTAAAGCTGGCTCTAGAGTGAATAGCGATCATAACATATTTACAAATTACTGTACTCCGTGTCGAGAATTGTGTTAAATTATTCTGTTAACTACGAATCTAGTAAGAGTTGGCATACGTTCAATAATTTAACACGAAAAGACTATATTTTTGAGTGATTAACGCGATGAATGATGTGGTATCGGCAAATAATAATAGACTAGCTGAACCCACCTCGGAGGCGAAACACACGCGGCTCTATTTTTAAGTCTGCTATAAAAATAAATGAGCGCATTATTCAACGTTGTCAAAATAAAACTACAAGACCTTCCTACGAATACATAATATGAAAAGATAATTGTTTTTAATGTATTTTTAATGAGATGCTTTTAATCCGGAAATTATTTATTTCAAATAAATATTACGTAAACATTTAATTATGTAATTTATGTAATACAATATGTTCAATATAATAATAATAATAATTGTTATATCTTGGGGCTAACTTTTAATGGGAATAATCTTAAATTCTCCGAATTAATTATGTACCAATTTCGAATTCAAAACAGATAGCGAAGCATAATCTCGTGATTCGCCGGGGCCGCCTTCCCTCCTCAACACCCATATTGCGGAAGGGGGAGCCGGAAAAAATGGCGTGATAGCTTTTCGCCCCTCATTCGAAATTCTAATACTTTCGCAAACTTTTAATAGGATGGGACTTAAAATTCAAAGAGAATTTCAAGTTAGGCTAAAGTTCATACAGGGGTTCGGCGATGTGGACTGCGGAATTTTATTGAAGATAAATGTGTGAGTGGTTTAGTTACTTGTGTTTTGCTGTAACTTCTTTAATGCCATGTATTTCTCTATAACATACATATGTTTACAATGGGGTTAGGAGACATATTATAGCAAGAGACATTTTTTTTTAGAAAACATATATTGATGTAAGACCACTGTGTTCTTGTCACAAAATTAAGTTTCGTTTAGCGTGCAAATGAAAGGATTTCAAAGAATGGTTTCAAACTTAACTGAATTTTAATACGTTTCAATTTATTTCATTATTGATTTGCAGTTACGATTATACGACGAGGATATGTGTTGATTTATCTATGAGTATTTATCTGAGAGACGTCTGTTCATGACCTCAATTTAATACTGCATACTAAATTCGGTCGCAGGCGTTTCGTGCGTGGCGCAAGAGTCATCACGCAGAACGATGTGCTAAGATTACTAATGTGTATATTATACTTGAGTTCAATTCAGAAATACATTTCGAGAAAAAAAAAACCACTTATTAAACAAAACCAGTTTTCTAACTATTTTTGCAAAAAAAATGCCTTGAATATCAAAGTTTAAGTACATCTTAATTTGTCTGGTTATTTGGTTATTGTATTACACTAATATACCTATATGGAAAAATGGAGCACCAACTGAACGCAGACAGCTTTTTCAACGTTAATATTGTATCTAGAATAGCATAGATAGTACTTAAGCCTAATTATGTATATTGTGACTGACAATTTGTTCGACATGGCATTTAATAACTTAATTGGGCTAACTAATGATTATGCGGATTAACGAAGCGGTCAATTTAATACCATTAAATTTATAATTAAGAGACAAAAACTGGTTCTATCGTAATAAATTAAAATCGGATATCGAATTATGTATTTGACCTCACCCAGTGGGCTTCCCGCTTTTGTAATAAATTAATGAACAACTTAAGATTCATCATAATTAAGTAAATTAATGTACAATGTGTATTTATATAATTGAAATTTACATCTTTATATCTAGATATATTACTTTTTAATGGAATAGTTTTATTACATCTAGTTTTATATGAATTTATTAATTTTAAATTATGTATTATAAATCAAATACGCACCATTCTTAATGATTAATGGATAATGATCTTGCGTATTTGTTTAATTGGAGCTGTATTGGAATACGTATAACCTATTGACACTGTGTCAATGTTTTGCATACTTGGTACTCTGACTTGATAACATCATTATATTATGCTCTCGCTGATTTCATTTTGTATGCAATTATGTTATTATACAATCATAATAAATCACTTTAAATATGTATTTTATTACGTAATGCACAAATATGATTTTGGAAATACGCATGCTTAAATTCTTTAATGTCTTGTGAAAATTGGCAAAGGCAGCATTATCATAAACCTCTCTTTACGTAATCTATAAGGCAGACTTGTTAACCTACATACCGATAGACGGGTAATATTAACAAACAAAAAAACAAACAAACAGCTGAGCCGCACTGTGTAGTAACGTGTAATTATGATCATGATGCCGCGCCGCTGGTCTGTTGGAATTATACGAACAATGACAATAAAAAAGAACATGTATCTTTCCCCCCTATAAGATTTAACACGATAGCTTTGTTTTTTTTTTTAAGTTTACGTTTGGAGTATTCATTGTGAAAGAAGTTTTAATATAGTTATAATGGTTTTACATTACGATTAATCGTAGTACAACCATTTTTAACTTTTGGTTTTTATGAATTAATAATAGATTTTCCTTTATGCCAAGGGTGCACTCGGGTACTACCTTTGCTGGTGGTTCATCTTTAGGCGGAGATTGTTTTGGTTCCTCTTTCTCAATTTTGATGGCCGGCTTCTCGTTTTTCTTTGTCACCGAACCGATGTTTTCAGTTTTCTGTTTGCTAACTTTTTTCTTGCCTTCCTTTTTGGTGCCACCCTCCGCATTGCTCTTAGGAGAATCTTTAATCCTCACTATGGTAACTTTTTTGAACTAGAAAGTTAAATAATTCGTCACTTTATAATTACTTGAATCCACCAAAAAAAATCTTATGCGCATTCAATCACTTTCAACTTATTAACAAAACATAATCAGTACTTTTTAACGACAGAGAAACATTTTGAGTTTCACTTCGCGGTGACGACACAAAAGTTTGTTATTGTTGCGCAAATCTAGTAATTGTGTGAAAATCCAGAGAAACTGACACTGCAATCCTTGGACACTGTAATCCGTGTTGTAATTATCCGACACGTTTAAAAAAAAAAATTGTTTACGTGTTCACACAGATACGTTTATTACAATCGCGTAAAATATATGTAACGGAGGCAAAGTGACAACAAACACACGGTTGGCCCAGTGGCCGGGGCGAGAGTGGCGCGGCCCGCGGTCGTCGCCCGCTGCGGCCCGCGCCCCTCGCTCCGCGCACGCGCCGCCCATCACACCGTCTCGTTCAACATTTCTTGTCACACATGTAAAATGCCAGCCGAAGCTAATATCGCGGACAAAAAATATTCAAGAGAAAACAAACAATCCGTCATCGCTTATCGTGTTAAGCTCACT